TAAGAAAATTGTACAAAAGCTCTTGGAATTTTTAGAATATTTTGGTATTAAAAGATAGTTATACAATCTATAAGTGATATATACAACAAATAAATTACTTTCATATATTAAAAATAAAACCTTTTAAGATAATAACTTTGGGAGCGCAAATACTATGAACCTCTTTAGTTTGCAATTTACGGGGTGTTCATTCTAAAGGCCCAAATTTCAAGCCTTTAATTAATTAATTCAAGCCTAATTCAAGCAACTACTAATTTTTTTTATTTTTTATTTTATTTATTTTAAGGAGTATAGATAACAGGATTACATACAAGTAAGAAAAATACAAGTAAGATAAGAAAATAAAGGGGGAACAAAGGTCAAGTCCTGGTTGACATGATTTGGACTTTTGCTTAGATCCAGACTCCAAACAAATCAAAAATAAATTAAGCTTTTCCATTTAGTGGCGTTTAAAAATAAAAATCGATCGAAAGATATTAAATATTCATGCCGAATTTCCAGCAAGTCGGCTGGTTCGTAACACCATTATCGAAAAAAGAAAGTTCCACTCGTCCGTTAAAAATAGAATTTAAAAGTGTAAAATGTAAATACTAACAAAGCAAAAAAATATCACTTAAAAAAAATGTAAAATGTTTAAGGAAGCTTTTATAACTGTTGAGAATTCGGGGATAATTTTTAAGTATTTAACCAACTAGATGTGTAATAGTACAAAAAAATAGAGAAAAAGTAATAGTACCTATTCACGGAAATTAGTATTTGGCTTTTAGCATTTCAAGGCTTAAGAACCAATAAGTTCCAAGCAGTTTCCTTCTTAAGCACTTTCAGAACTTTCTCCTGATTCTCCCCCCTCTCTCCTCTGATTAGCCTTTCCTCCAACAATAAGCCATTGGAACTGCCATTATGTGAATCACACGGAATAATCCTCTCGGAAGCGGCAACGCTCCATCATCTTTATCTGGGCGAGCCATTAGGAGTTATTTCCCGGCTAATCGCTGGGGTCTCCATCTGGATCGGTGCTGGCTCATCATATGCAAAAGCCACCCATAGCCCCCTCCACGGCGCCCCTCGATTAACCCTATTAAACCCCTCATGACCATTAACCCATCTGGCATTCTTCGAGCCACCCTCGTATCTAAAGCAGCTACCACGCAGAAATCTCTGGCAAATTACCAGCGACATAAATTAGAGGCCAAAACCACAATGGATACACGATGCTTTCCTCTACTTTTCGAAACGGGTTAACAGAGGGGTGGCGGAGGGCTTGGAGGTTGAAGGGCAGTGGCACAGTGAGTGCCTGAAATATGACAACGAGCAGTGGCGGGTTAAGCGACGTCCATTTGCGTGTCACAGGACATTTTTATACTCCTCTCGCCCGGCGCTTTTTGCAAATTTATTGAGCTAATACAAAATTTAATCAGCCTCCTCCGTGCCGATTGCCCTGCGTCCGGCGTCCGGCGTCCTTCTTCCTTAGTCCTGGGTGCCCCTTTATTCCCGTTTTCCTTTATTTTTGCCTCCGCATTATCAGACTCGTCTCGACCATAAATAACCGAAAGTAAGGTCCAGGCCAGGCGACTGGCTTCCCTATGAGCGGGGCCTGGCGGGGTCCAACAGCTGGCGGCGGCCCCTGGCAAAGAAAAGGATTGCCATCGGTCCTTACACTTCATTTAAAGTCAAGGAGTCGCACATAAATTTCCATGCACATAATTAAACGGCCCAAATGACAAAGCAAAATCGAGTGAGTCGAGGTCAGAACGAGGCGAGAACGAAGGCGCGGCGGCGGCGGCGGCGAGTTGACCTCCTGGGGTCACATATACAAATCTAATAAAATATGCAGCCAGATGACCAGGGCCACCCCTGCATCCCTACCATAGCCCAGTACCCCCATATCCTTGTATCTATTATGCCACTTCCTGCTAATTTGTGCGTGTGTGTGGGTGTGTGTTTATCTAATAACAAAAATTATGAAAATCTATGTGGGTGGTCCTGTCAATTAACTTTGCCAGTAATGAGCCGAACGGCATACAGGGCGTATGAGCAGTGCGGGACGGAGGTTGGAGAAAGGGATAGAGGGAGGATAGGGTTAGGTCTGAAAGAGGTTTGGGGCTATAGGCAGGGTACAGGACACCCATGGGAATAAATACGGAAGATTGCTTAAAGTTGTAAGAAATAATGTAATTTTATTGATTAAAAAACTATATTTTTATATTTAATATTTAATTTAATATTTATTTTAACTAGGTCTTTTAAGGTTAAGTATTAAAGGAATAATGAGGAATTATAATTTAAACTATTAAATAATAGTTTGCTTTTTCTTTTTAAAAATCTTAAAAAAAAGTCTAAAATGTATACTATTTTTCACCAAAAGCCGATCTCTCTAAGATTGCCTTGCTAGCATTTTATATTATTTAAAAAATAACAATAAAAACACTAAATAATAATCGTATTTTAAGTCCTTAAAAGCAATAAATTGGCAACTAAAAGAAACGTTTAATTTTTGTTAATTTCTTCAAACAAAGAGGCACACCTGCAGCACCTTTAAGCCCATTCTGTCAGTCTCGACAGGGCACAATTCACGCGAAAATGTGCCAGGATACTTGAGAAGGTGAAAGGAGTTACTCCTGGCGGAGTAAGGAGAGGGTGAGGGCGAGGGACTAAAAAACAGGGGCAAAGGAACAACTTTATCGACGCGATTTTGGCCGCCGACTGAGACTGAGATTGCGACTGACATCGAAGTCGAGGCCGAGGCAGAAATGCTTAAGTAAGCTTAGTGAGTTGAGAACTGAGCACACTCACACACACACACACACAGAGGTCCTTGCCACACACCCCCCTGCAGCACGCTTAACCCTCCACCCCGTTAACCCCATAAAGCATTTCTACACATGTGCGCCCTTTTGTATGCTACACTGAACCCCAATAAGCGCTTCTTCCCAGCGAGGGCAGCGGAGGCAGGGAAGTGCCTGTGGAAGTGGAAACATTGGCCCTGGCTCAACAATTTAAAAGTTAAAAACTTCTACTGCTGCCGCTGCCACTGCCACTGCCGCTGCCGGAGCTGGCTTTAAAGCCTTTAAGTATTTTAATTATGTAGGATTTCACTTCCTGTTGCCTGTTACTCTCCAGGCCCAAAGCCCAGGGCCAGGCCAAAAATTTGTAGATGTCAGTGGGCTTTTTGGCCTCCTTTGTCGGCTCGGAGAACCGGGAGGCTGCCTCCCTGACTAACTAATTGAAAAATCCTATCCGCCTATGGCCCGGGGCCAGGACTTTGTCTTGGATTCGTGTTCGCAGATGCCTCAAGGACATCTTCTTTCCTCCGTCGTGACATGTGTCAGTCGGTGTATAAAATCAATCTGGAATGATCATCTTTGGCCAACAAGTCGACACGTATGTGGAGATCATCATTATTGTCCTAGGAGGAGGACCTTCCCGGATCAGGGCACACACACTCACACACTTACTCATTCCGTCTCCCATCAACAACATCTTCATGCTCTTGAGTCGGCAATATAAATCAAATCAAAAGCACAAACAACCCGCGAGTGTGTACACAATTCAAGTAAACTCCATAGAGAGTTCGTCCTGGCCGAAAATGCAGGACAAGAAAGGGGGAGGGGAGTGAGCGTCCTGAAGCCAGGACCAAAAGACAGACAACCAACTGGGACATAAATCAAGGCGGCGCCAACTTTGCACTGCACTCTTGCACAGGACCCGAAAGGACAAAGCCCCGGACCAGAACCAGAACCAGAACCAGCACCAGACCTAGCGCCAGGACCTGCCAGGATATACATATATATATATAAATCCATACATATACATATAGAAATACGATAGATAGGCTTGTAAGTGCACTCGAATGTTGCTTGTTGCAATGATGACATCATCGTCATCATCCTGCAGCCCCTGCCCTTCCGTCCTTCCGTCCTGCGTCCTTTTTACTCGGAAAATGCTGTGTTGAACATCAATCTGCTTGAGCTATGACAACGAAGCGTTTTATTGTTGTAAGGACACACTCGCACTCGCACCCAAATAGAGATGGATTTGGGATGCAACACGCACACACACACACTCGTAAAAAAACATTGCAAATCTCCAGAACTCCGGAGCCCCGGGAACTCTGCCAATTCAAGGACTAAACGGGTTTTGGTTCTCAAGGTTTTTCTCTCCATTCTTTTTTTGTTTTCGGGACTTGACCAGTTTGTTTATTGCCCGACAAGTTTGGATTTTTTGAAAACCAAAAGTCACAGAAGGACGCACCAGAAATTGGCGTTAAGCTAGGTTGGTTTTTCTAATATTTTTAAATATTTTCAATTGGAATAGTTAGATTTTTAAGTGTTTGTATAGAAAATTTAGGTAGAAAATAAATTGATCTTATCTAAGTTTCAAAGTTCCTTCGGGAATGAGGGAATAATTTCAAGTAATTAAGAGAAAAAATAGGTCTACTCTGAAGATTATTTTGTATATTCTAAACAAACATTTGTTGTATCTTCTGGCTAAATTAAATAACTGAAACATGTTTGCAATGATAAATATCAATAATGAAATTGACCCCTATTTTTAAAGGTCTTTTTTAGGAAAAGTATATTTTTATTCTAAAGTTAAGGTTATTTGTTATTTTACGAGTGTTCTAGTAAATTTCCTTTTTTTTAAATAGTTCTTTCTTTTACTTTCTCAAGCTTTTCAAATCCCTCGTTATATGAATATATACTTATGTTTATTACAGTTAATGCCAGTCCACTAATATGACGAAGCAGATGGCGTATTTAGAATTGTTAAAATACAATAAATTAATAGTTTATTTATGTCTTTTTTACTTTATGAAGCAGGTCTCTGTAAATTATTTTTAAAAAATATTCATAAATTACTTAAACTTAAAACTTACTCAAAAGAAAGCGTCAAGAAATAGTATAATTCGAATTTGGAAAATATGATTAAGTACTTATATTAAAATTTTATGAAATGCATCTTTTAATATAATGAATGTTTGTTTATTTTTTCATTTTCAGAACAGACACAAACTCCGCACCGAGAAACCTGAGAGCAGACACCTAATCGTCTTCATCTCGATGAATTCCCCTCGATTGTTTTGATTGCGAGGATATCGTCTTCTGTTTATATATCTGTCTTCTAAAATATATAAATACCCACACGAGTGCTGTTCATATATGCATATACCATGGTGCATACATATATGCAGAAAAGGCTACAAATTGTCAAATTGTAAAACGCTGCAGTTTTGCTATCAAAATGCGAAATCTGAGAGTCTCTGTTCTTGTGTGCCCTCGCCCTGCCCCTGTCCCGGCCCGTTTTTCAACTTTCAACTAAAAAAATAAAATAAAATAAAGTGAAAAAAATTTGCTGAACCCTGGGCTAATCCTGCAACCAGGACACTGCATCCTGCATATCCTGGACCCGAGGGCGTTCCGTTACGTTTGTTTGTTAGTTGTTTACGTTTCTGTTGCCATTTTGTTCTGTTTGCGTTAAATTCGAAAAAATGCAGAAAATGCGAATCGCAGAATGCAGAGTGTAGAGTGTAGAGTGCAGAATGCAGTAGAAAGGACACTGGATACTGAATACAGGATACCGGACTGCGGATTGAACACTAAATAATTATATCGAATTTCGAGTCAAATGTGTGTAAATCATAAAGTGAACACATATGGACAACGGCATAGACAAAATCCGATTTAAGCGTATTTAAGCATATGTATTTGTATTTGTTTATGTGACAGTAAAACCTATATATATATATAAACATATATATAATGAATTTTTTTTTTATCATAGCTGATAGTTCATAAATAACTGGGAAAATTTATTGGCCAATTAATAAAGATGCAATTTATCCGTATATGTGGAGAACAAACAACAAACAAACGACATCTGCATTACCTAGCCAGATGAATGATATATATACACGCATATATATATATATGTATACCCACATATATAGCCCGTCTAGTCAATTAATGCCACAGTATCTTGTATCTTTGTATCTATGATAGCTAAACCTAATGCTAAAGGGGAAACCACAACAAAATTTGTACTTATTTTATAGCAAACGATGTACGGTATATACGAAATTACACACTATTATTATTATGGATAAATATGTGATAAACAGAATGTTTGCATTGCCCTCACAGGACTTGGAAAAGGAAAGAAAAACAGATTCCTGTACATATCAAAAATTAAGAAAAGTATCGAGCATCAATTACCAACTTGCTTAGCTAAATTATTAAAAAAAAAACACAGTGTACATTTTATAGCAAAGTCCACCAGGAATATTCCCAATAAATATATATGTATTTCCACATAAGCTAAGCCCGAAATTGGAAACTGGTAAATTAAATGTAAATTAAAACAATTTGTCCAAACAATTTAGCCGCAAATCGAATCGAATCGAATTGGTTTGAATTGAATTGAAACAAAAATAACGATGTTTTCCAAGCAAATCGTTTTCTCCACATATATATAATATATATATACATATTATATATATGAGTATGAGTGTGTGTATGTGTGCGTATCCTTGCTGGTAGATTGATATTCCAATTAGAAATGCTAACGAGACAAGTGAGGGTTCAGAACAAATACAAACACAGACTCGAACACATACACACACACACAAAGCGGAATGCACTCAGTCAGCATTTACTATATAAACAGAAAATCAACTAGCATATACTTATATATACGAAAATAAATATAAACAAATATACCAACATCTAGATACTGAAGTTGATAATTTTTTTTTTTTTTTTATCAGTCTGCTAGCTGAAATCCTAATCTTAATTAGCCATGGTAATACTATTAATATTTATAGCGAATGGTAACTCTAGATAACAAATATCGATTGTTAACTCTGCGATAATGACTTCGATTAATGTAAAATAGCATAATTGTGTCGCCCAAGTAAGTGTTTCCCATCACCATTATTTGTATGTCCAAAACGAAGGCAATTAAAGCGTCATTATGCATTATTATACTATATGGAATATATATAATGTTAACTGTAGGCTAACTATGAGACATACAGGTGCATAACGATAACGATAATATCGATAACAATTACAAATACCAGCTGCAAACTCAAAGGCAAACTAAGATCCATGATAATATATAATAACAATAATAATCAAACCTACTATCGATGAAGAAGCCAAAAAAAATATAATAAAAAAAAGAATGAGCAAAGAGGAAAACAAACATAATAAATTCAAAAGCCAAGCCAAAGGATTATTTATTTCGAACGGAGGTGGGACGACAATAAACGGGACCCTCTCTTTGCGGCCCTCCCTTTCTTTGTAGGCGTGTCCAGGGGAAAGAGAGCGGCTCCAATAAATCAAGCATTGGCGCATCCCAGATGCTCTTCTCCTTCTCTTTGCCGGCCAGAGCTTAAGCACCCCCTACCCCCGCCCCACCATGCATCCTTTGTCTTTTTTAACATCTTCCTCTTCTGCCTCGGCTCCTTCTTCATTTTACGTTTCTTGTTCCGCTTTGCTAGTTTTTTATTTATATGCCGCAAAAGCTTTAAATGCGTCACCAGCAGCAGCAGCGGCAGTCGCAGTAGCAGTAGAAGTAGCAGCGGCAGCAGGACAAACAAGGACATGGCCAGGGGGGGTGGTGTATCCTGAGGAGACGACGGTAAAGGAGTCTCCCGGCGAGAGGATACACAGCAATTTCAGCAACAATAATAAATATCGCGAGTCAACCGCAGCCACAGCAAAATGCAAAAAAAAAAACAAAAATAAAAATGCAAAAAAAAAAAAACACAAAACACACACACGGTGGGGCATTTTTTGTGCGCCCTTCATTCAGCCCCGCCCACAAATTTGAGCCCCCGCCCCCCTCCAGCGACCTAAGAAGACAAATGTATGCATAAGTCGGCAGCACAGTTCCCGCTGAAATTATTTCAAACAGTTTTCGGCACACTTAAAAAAACCGGGAACTACATTATTTCAAAATATTATTTTTGTTTCATTAAATCCTTTATAAAAATCCCTTGTCCTATACTAAACCATGTTCACCATAAAATTACTATACAATTCGAATATTTTCTTAAAAAGTTTATTATTATATTATTATTTTATTAACTTGCCACTTAAAATATTAAAACACCATTTTCACCATTAAAATAGTTAAGCCTTTATACTTTCTATTTAAAGCTCAGATTCAAATACATATACAATTTAATCAAAACCCTATTGGGTATTTTCGTCACTGACATTTTCTTTATTCGCTTTACACTCCCCGCCATAAGTCATTTTTTGCTACTACACGTTAGATTCTTAGTTTCTTTTTAAGTCTAATATTAAACTTCATGTCTAAAGAAAAAAGAACCTTGTTAGGAATTTTCGTCACTAAACTTTTTCTGAGCTGGCCGCCAAGAGTTGCACTACACTACCGCCCAACACCACCCGCCATATACTTCCCTCGAAAAGTCAGCGGACAAGGTGAGGAAAAGGTGTGGGGAAAAAACTATTGCCGGCTGATGAATGCGCTGATAGAAGAACCGTAGAGCCGGACCGCTTGATGGCACTCCCTTGGCCAATTACTTTTGCCAGCACCTGTATATCAGACAGGGCACACACATGCAGATCCGAAGGACCATCGTCCTGCTTCTGCTGCTACTGCTACTGCTACTGCGGAGTGCGAAATATGAGCGGCATTAAAAATTAGTCCAAAGTACTGCTAAGTGCGGAAGCAGCCGCGACAAACTATCAGCGTCAACTAGAAAAACGGCAGTCTGTAGTTCAGCCAGTCGAAACGATAAGCAGGACCGACTAACTGATGCCCTGTAGAATACCATAGGGGTATATTCTCTCTGTCTGTTATTTACTATTTACGATCTATAAGGTTTTATTGTATGCTGTTTAATTTCTCCAAACCTTTTGGAAGTAAAATAATAAAATATCTTAAAATAGTCCAAAGTTTATGATTTAACAAAAATAAATAATAATAATTTTAATAATTATTTTTGACTAATTTTGAACTATTAAAAATAATAGTTAAAAAAAAAAACTTTTTCTAAAATAATTACTTTCTATTGAAGAAATTCAACGAAAAGCACTTAAAGTTACATATATCTTCAAGTGTCCCCACCAAAGCTAAGAAAAAATATTCCGCATTTTTTGAAGACTATAACTTAATGAGATGAAAATCCGAAAATCCGGGACTTCGTCCGTATTTGTAGGTATTATCCCCCAAGATTTGTGGCTACCCGGGGGTTACCCTCTACAGTTGTCTGCGTAAGTATATTAACTCCAGCAACGCTCTACATACATATACAAAGCGCAGCGAAGCTGGCGTGCCATATTTTTAGTGTCCAGTTGTGGCCCCCTCCTGCCATTCCTGTTGTGACCCCCTTGGCCGGAAGCTACGCCCCTGTTGTTGCCTCGCGCTGTTTTTCGTGCGTGGGTAGCTTTTAGTAGTCCTCTTCCCGGGGCTACTAGTTTTGTTGGTTGAAAATTTTAATGCCACATTTAGCGCTGGCGACAATGCTGACAGTGTCTCTCCCCTTTTTTCCCCCTCACCTACGCCACTGTACGAAGCTTAAAGCACCCGAGATTCATACTTTTATTTTTGTATTGGTACCCGGTACTTGGAGAGTATATTGTATTTAGAGAGGTGTAGTTTTTAGAGCCTCAAACTTCTTTGATGGTCTCTAACGCTCTTAATAATTGGACGATTTTTTAGAATCATTAGCTGCAATAAAATTATCAAATACCAGGTATCATATATTTCGAAACCTATTTTTGGCTTAGTTTCATTTTGGTTCAGTTCTGGTTTGTTTCTATTTTCGCTTTAGTTTCTGTTTTGGACGGTAAAGGATACCCAATAGAGGCAGCAATCGACATTGCCATATGCCACCCAAATATGAGCAGTTGCATCCACTTGGGGGGCAGCCCTGGCAAGGGGATAGCTGGCCTCTGTTTGTGTCCAGTCCATTGGCTTTAGCATAATTGGCAAGTTGTATCCATTGGTAATGGTAGCCGGAGAAACAGGACCCCGCCAGGGGGGACGGGCTGCAACTGGAACTGGAACTGGTCCGGGCCAAATGGAAAATACAAAACGAAAATCGCTTAAACTGTGCAAACCAATAAATTTAAAGCAGCTTAAGCGACGAGCACAAAAACAATAAAAAATTGCATTTGGCCATGGTGAGAGTCCAGCAAATAAAAAAAAAAACAGAATATAAATAAATAAAAGGGTAGAGTTGCAGGACAAAAAGCTACTTTGTCGGTTCGGGTGTCCTCCGAAAAATCGTTGCAATTAAATGCAAATCAGCTGCAGGGACATATACTATATGTAGGTGTTTTGTGGGCCAATTGTGGGCAAGTGGTGCAAGTGGCAAGGCTGGGGTTTGTCACTTGAGCTGCCTGTTATTTCTACGGCCAGTCGTTGGCCACTCATGCATCATCATCACTGTTGTTGTTATCGTTATCGATAATATACGCAAGTGCGTACATGTAGGGGCAGGTATACATTCAGGTAAGCATATCTGCCAGACTAAAAGCACTGTCACACACGGAAAAAAGTGTGGGGATATGTGGTTCATTACATATACTAGTTTGCCATTTTTTTGTTACAAAGTTTCACAGTTTGTATTTAAAAATAAAATACAAAAAATCATTATAACGAGTTTATTTAAGGAGTTTAGTTAAAAGCATAAGAATAGCTCGTAAGAACTCGAGTTTAGATACTTGTTTTTTCGATATATAATTAAGTATTTTATGATACCTAATAAAAAAAAAAAATGACGGATATAGTCGAGTTTCCCGACTATATTATACCTGGTACCTATATGTCTCACCCACAGTTTAACTAACCTTTAAAGTTTAAACTTTAACGGTATGGTATGGCCATACTACCGATTCAGTAGGAAAGCAGACTAAAAAGTCGTTCACTCCTCTAAAACTTATTTTTAGGTAAAGATTAGCAATTGGAATAGTGACATCAAACATTTTTAAAAAAACATCAACGAACTGGCGCTACAATGAGATTTCTGTTTTGGGGAAGGGCGTAGAAAATTTTTGACAAAAACTTGATCTCCGCGGATACCATACGAGTCCAAGTTCCAAGTGGGATAATTGTATTTCTTATAGTTGTAGAGATCCACGCGCTCTAAATTTTAGCCCGTGTGTATGGGAAAAGTTATATTTATGGGTGTACCTCCTCCAAAAATCTGCCGATTTGGATTAAATTTGTTTATCAGATATAAATTAAAACTATGAAAATGGTATGGCAAAGTTTTTCAAATATCTTCCTCTACTGGCGCTACAGAAATTTGCCATTTATTGGGGCGGAAGAGAGCGTTGCAAAAATATGATACAATCTTGAACTGCTTGGGCATTATAGGAGGGTCCATGCCAAATCTGACAGTTCTATCTTTTATAGTCTCTGAGATCCACGCGTTCATACGGACAGATGATACGGGATCGGAGACGATTCCTTCTCTATTCCTTAAACATTTTTATTCAGAAGAAACTACACAAAATGTTGATTTTTATATTAATTTATTTTACAATTTGAAAATTATTACAAATTTTAATAATTTAAAAATACCATAAAAGATGGTGCGGAAATTTAAATTTGGGCACAGATATTACCTCACCCTACTAACTAAACTAAATTTTTCAAACTAAAAATTGTTTTGTTCAAACTAAACCATAAATACATAGTTGGGCATGAAAGGGGATAATATATCTTGCTAAATTAAAGAATATTTATTTCTTTCGTATCTATCATTTTAATGTATTATAATTTGACAACTTTCTTACATTTATTACTTGTTGCATTTAACTCTTTTTTATTTTATAAAGATCTTTTATTTATGATTTGCGAGTATACATATGTACATTATTACATACAGGATAAGTAGTGCCGAGTACCATATGGTCGAGTAATTGTTTATTTTATTATTTATGTTATTCCAACCTTAAGTTAATCAATTAATTTTGAGCCATAAGAAAAACATCTTTTATACGGCTCTGGGTATCGTGTAGTTTAAAGATAAGGTAGCTTATGATAAGGTAGTATCGTATACAAATGTAGCCCGTTAACAATATGGCAGGTTGTGGGTGAAACAGTGATGATTAACCACTGTCTTATTGACCTTTAGACGGCGTAACCCTTAAAAACACACCATTTCTCTATATT